GGCAATTCTTTTATATGTAATAAAGCAGGACCAACTCTTTCAATTTGTCTTTTAGTTTGGAATGGGAAATACTTGTGTAAAGGGTAGAAAAGTCAAATGTGTTAATACTATTGTAAGATAAAAGAGTCTTAGATTGTGTGTATTCTAAAAGATCCTTGGAATGTTGTAGTATCCACATATAATTCCAGCCACCTCTAGAATAGGTTGTTTCACAATAACTTTGAAGCCCGGCTTTGATTGCTGATAAAATTAATGTTAATGATTTAGAATTTCGTGGAGCACTTGGAAGACCCAGCAATTTAACGTTGTAAGGACACTTATGTAATTTAGGTATCCAATACAAGACCATACAGTGAAGGAATATCCAGTTCTTCATCTTTCATTGGTGAAAAATTCCTAAGGAACATAGAACATACCTATGATTATCCAGGATTTCCTCCTTGGAAAGTGTCGTGGGGCTATATGTTGAGATTCCAAGTGAATTGTCTACCTTATTCATTTATCAAGCATGCAGCTTATGTAATGTGAGTTACACACAAACACGATCGATGTTGTTTGGGGCTTTATCTGCAGGACCACAACATATTTGTCATGGAGGTAGGACATTATGTTTTACAATATTTGGGTCTTTAAAGGTAAATGTAGCATGTGTTTTCATAGACCAACTCAATTTTTTGATTTGTATCAACGACCTCGCATCCTTAATCCATTCGGAAGGAGTATCTACTTCTTCTTTCTCGCGTTTAACCCATTGTTTGGCATAATTCTTGATTGAATCCATCAGTATTTTGAAGTTGATGGATTGATGCCTTTGGATAACACATTTCGAAGAGAAGTGTTATTGACAATGTTTAGGTCACCAGAAATAACGTGGCCAGTCGGATTATATATGAATGGGGAACTAGCACAGGTTCAATCCCGAGGTTTAGACTTGAAGTCGTCAGTATTGAGATCCTGCAACACGTGACTGAAAATTTTAGTTGCAATTGGTTTGGTATAGGTATAAGAAGTGATAGGTACAGACTGATCTTTTTAAATGATTTTTGAAATAAATGTTTTGAAAAGCAATAAGCAATCTTTGGAGGAGTAAAATAGTTTACCTATGATTGAATTTACAAATGCCCCAAAAACAACCTCTACATGCTAATATAAGGGGAGACAATGATCTTTACCTCAAAGTCTCTCTTTCTACTGGTCCAATGTCCTACAAGGAAACTTTATAGACTTTATTGGAAGAGTCTATTTGATGAATTAATCTGTTTCAGAAAAACGTATATCTAAAACCTCAAACTGTGAACATTATTTAATCAAAATATGAAATTGCAATTTAATAGAAATTGTTATGCATTTAAGTGGTCCACTGTTATTGACTCACATTTATCTACTGAAAAAAATCCTTATCTTTCTAAAGAACTGCAATAAATGCAACTGTCAGCAGCTTTTTTTTCCTTTTTGAAGGAATTTCCCACGTCATACCTAAATGTGATTTGCATTATTTAACATGTTGTTTTCATTATTTTGAAATTATTCAAACTACTCTTCCAATCTTTCCACCATTGATGCATTAAGTTCGGTATTTTTGTGATGACACTTTACTACAGTAACGGTTGCCTATGGACATACAAGTTGAACGTTATACTGTAAACCAACGATTTTTTTCGCGAGCGATTAATTTTCGCGCCTTTTGCGAGTGGAAAAAAACGTGAATCGTTGCGAATATATATCACTTGGGTCTTCTCTCATATAAATACATCAAGAAAATGAGAAAAACCGCGGAAATAAATTGCCGCGAAGTCGGCTTAAAATGGCTAAACGCTAAATAAAGTATCCGCGAACATAAGTTGGTTTATAGTATTTCAGCAAGATTGTCATGTTGGCAATTGATTGAATGCCATCCACAAATAACATTTTAATGACACCATTTTGTTCAACTGATTACAAAAACATTACACCAGATTTAAATACATTTGTAAATAGAAATATATATAATACAGCATATAATCAAATAAGCATACAATATGATATTGCACGTTTTCAGAGGCTTTCAATTAAAGCAACAGAAGTTTATTGATGTTCAAATATCTTAAATCGACCAAGAAGCGACAAATCAAGGTAACAAACAAAAAGAAAGAATCGCACGAACTCCAAAGGGATCGAGACCGGCCGCGACGACAGGATAAACGTCTCCTGCTATACATGCATCACCCGCTATGCGAATACACACTATCGAAATGTCACAATCGGTAAAATTACAAATCAGACGACTATACTGGTATCCGCTAGATTCGAAAACTCACGAACCCTAAATTCCTTAATTTAATTCAAAATTTCTAGTGCAAGTTCATGGTCTGAAAGTCCAGGGAATAAAAGAGACCAAAGATACCAAGGGGACATTTAAAACTCATAAGTCGAAAAACTGGAAACGCCATAGCTAACTTGAAACGAAAAACGTAAAAAACAAATAAGTCCACAAATACACTACTTAATTAGCAGCTAAAGACTGAGCAACACGAACTACCATTAAAAACCGAGGGTGATTTCAGGTACTCCGGCAGGATAAGCAGATCCGGCTCCACATGTGGAACCCGTCGTGTTGCTCATGAAAGTACAAATTCTGTAATGTCACATTCGAGGAAAAGAGGATATGATTGTGGTTACGGCTATTGGAACAAATAAGTTTTCATATTTCAAAACGGTCAAACAACTGATGGCGTCCGTAATATTCCGTACCATTTCAATTTCTTCTGAAAAGACGGCGATTACCATCTTTCCGTTTCTTATGAGGCATGGATTTACAAAATTATTGTATTGAAGGAGATCATGAAATCAAAATGTGAAGGTCCTGAAATATTTGTAATCGAATTACGGAGGTCCTGAACTTTTTCAGGATGTCCTGAAATCGAATTATGGAGGTCTTGGAATATTTTTGACGAAATCCACGCGTGACTAGTACAATTGTAGTAGTTTCTCACTCACCACACACCCATTCTATGTCTCATTGATTTACCTAACCTATCGCCAATTCATTCATCCACTCAATCAATTGCTCTAATTCAAAATCGCCGCCTACCTGATTCTCTCTTCACCGACAGTTTCTCTCTATCGCTTACCCATTAACACTGTCTCTCGCTCATTTACGCACACATTCGACCAACCACTCTCGTACTGGCGTTCTTACTCGCAACCATCCACACACTCTATTATCACTCTATCATTCTTCCTTACTCAATTTATCCCTTGCTCAACTTATTAGAGAATCAAAATTGATGTTGCAAATACACCGGTTCTGCTCCTTCAGGGCTGTGATTGCCACAGTCCAGCAGTGAGGACACCACAGTCTACCATCGTCTGGGAAAGATTGGTACCCGTCCATTCAGTTTCCTTTTCTGAAAGGGTCTATAAATACACATGCTACTTACTTGACTTCGTCCTCTTCATTCCTTGTGGAACTTAGGGCTGCCACATTCGCTTTACACCTTACTCTGTTTTGGGCTGTTCTTTTTGCTTCGCTCCAGGTATATCCTATCTCCTCCAGCTCCTTCAGCCTTGGTCTTCTCCAGCTGTGAAATGTTCTTCCCTGTCTTACACATGCTACATCGATCTTTAAAGACCCAAATAATGATATGCAACTGTCCTACTTCCAGGATAAATATGTTGTTGTCCCCGCATATAAAATCCAAAACAACATTTTTTTTGTGTGTAAATTTCATTATGTAAACTGCTTCTTAAAGAAATTAGGTAAGCTCACGACACTCAACTGGCAGGAAATCCTGAATAATCGTTGGTCTGTTCTTTGGAATTTCAACCAAAGATGAAGACTAGATCTTCATTCCTCTTTCCTCTTGCAACAACATTAAAGCATTTGACTTTTCTACCCTTTACACATGTATTACCCATTCCAAACTTGGAGACAAATTGAAAGAATTGGTCCTGTTTTGTTTCTTAAAAAAGAATGGCCAACGTAGATACAAGAATGAAAAGAAGTTAGCATTATCCTTTAACTCAACTTTCCGCTATAAAGATTATGTCCTATCACTAAATGATTCAAAATTTGATGAATGTTGAACACATCTGTCCCATCGAACTTGAAATAAAGGATACAGTTAAGTTTGTCTTATTTCTTAACTTACATCTAGAAACTGACAATGAGGGTTATCTAGGAACAAAACTTTTCGAAAAAAGAGATGAGTTTCAGCTTCCCAATTGTGAACTTTCCATTTCTATGTAGCAACATTCCAGCAGCACCTACAATATGAAGTATACTTGTGTTTATTTAACAATTATATCGGTGGAACAAATCACATAAATCAATCAACATTATCAATGACAGCTAGAGGTTAACTGACAGGAATTATTGTAGTTGAACGTTTCAAGCGTGTAGTTCTTATAAATACGATATTATTTTGTTTTTCAGAGATCTCTAATTGCTAGAAGAATTTCAGGAATAATACTTTTAACCAGAGACATACAATAAAATTGTATTATATGTCTCTGTTACAACAAACCTGGTGTTTTGGCTAATTGGTCTGGTTTTCAAAGTAAAATGATTAGCCACAAGAATGAACCCCCCTTTTCTATACACTATTTATTTTTTACTAAAAAAAATTTAAACAAAATTAAAACACCAAATAGATAAATAAAACATAGAAAAGGGGGTCCTTTCGAAAAGCGACTGTAGTTTTAGTCGGTGTATCATTGACAAATACAGACATAGTTCCAGACTCTGTATGACATGATATTCAACAAACTTGTCATATATTTCATCTAAATTCTTGCTATAAATGTCAAGAAGTATCAAGTCTGAAATATCTACTATTCCAGAGACTCTTCTCTACCAATCATTACATAGTACATGTAGTAATTGCCGAGGCCTCGAGGTTTTGAAGTGAATAATAAATACGTTATGAGTGCTCCTTAGATAGGAGGAACTTATCTTGGACAATAACCGGTGATGTACGAGTGTCTTTCCCCACTAGGCACTACACCTACTTCCTTCAGTAAGGGGAAAGAACTCATTAATCTAATGCAAACATGGCGGCTATCCGGGGAAGATCAAGTTTTGTGTTTACAAAAAGGTTGGTTATGCAGATCGTATGAAGAAGAATGACTTGTTACTTTGCCATAATTTATTTAAGATCATGATCTTTCGGTTTATCTATATGCCTAATATAATCACACGGTGCAAATATGTTAAATCTGACTGCAAAAAAGTTGTGCTATTGAAAAATGTTAAAATTGAAATCCCAAGATAATGGGGATTTCAACTTTTTCAGTTTTCTGGCGTATAAAAGATATACTTTCATATATTTTAAGTTATAACTTAAAATAAAATTGATATATTATTTTTACTTGATATTATATGTTGAAAAAGTAAGATCGGTAAACAAAATAACGAGTTTTCAGTTGCACATGTTACATGTTGTTATTTTATTGATATGCTAATGAAACACAACGTCAATAATTGTTTACCACCCAGTACATGTCCAACTCTAGAAATAGTCCCTAATTCTGAAAAGGATGTTCAGAAGCAAAAGTGATTTGCAATTTACAACCATAATGCAATAATTAGTGTTTAACATGCATGATGTACAAAACAATATACATGTTCAGCTTGGATGTTGAGTTATGCAGTGTGTCTGGTAGTTATCTGAAGGTATAATCCATAGCCAAGGTCAGCTGCCTTGGCTATCATATATGTGTCCATCTGATCATCTATCCCAAATTTATATGTACATGTAGGGCCTAGATGTCATTTAGTTGTGTCGTATGGTTGCTGTCTCAGCATACATTGATATATACCCTGGCAGTATCTTTTTTATTCACATTACCACAATAGAAAAGCTCATATATTACATGTATATATATGGCAAAATTGCAATTAATTATTTAATAGAAATACATATTGTACATTCCTCTTCTTAGACAGTCTGCACCAAAATCTTTTCCAACTACTAGTCCGAAGGCAAATATTCAGACATTTTCCTTATGTGTCTAAACAAAGTTTTGCGAAAATTAACTAGTCCAAATAAAATTTTACTAGTCTGGGGCATCAGACTAGTGGCTAACAGTGCAGGCTGCTTCTACATTTACACATACATGTATATATAGTTTGTATATGTACAATGTACATGAACTGCCTCAGATATCAACTAGTCCAAATAAAATTTTACTAGTCTGGGGAATCGGACTAGTGGCTAACAGTGCAGGCTGCTTCTACATTTACACATGCATGTATATACAGTTTGTATATGTACAATGTACATGAACTGCCTCAGATGTCTTGTAGTAATGTCAGGTACAAAATGTAACTAAACTGTAGTGTGCAGGCATGTATCATGGGAAGTTATAAGTTGGATCTGGGGCCAAGTCAATCTATGACTTGAAAAAGGGTTTTGCTGCTTCTCTGCTAAGCACCCTCTGCTTTAAGGGGTAACTAGAGTAAATACTTGGTCAGCTGAGGACAATAATTAAACTGATGCGGATCAAAGAGTTGAAAACCCCCAAAGCTAGATAATGTTTGGAGTGAAATGGGTAAAAAGTCTGTATTATATATATTAATTAACCATAAATGTAGCTCCATGTGGGGGGGGGGGGGGGCAAAATCCATCACTGTGAAATGTCTGATACCTTAAGCCGCTCATGTCTTCCTGTAGAATGTTTACAGTAGAAATGGCATGTTAAAAAGCTGACTAAGTGCGTCTGTCTAGCACAAAGCAGTGTTTATACCATAGGCGGATCCAGGGGGGGAGCCCTGGGGGGCCCGGGCCCCCCTTTTGTGGGAAAAATTTGGTTGATTATATAGGGAATCACTGAAGAATGACTGGAGCGCCCCCCCCCCCCCCCCCCCCCCCCCCTTAGTTCAGTCAGCGGGCCCCCCCTTATGAAAAGTTCTGGATCCGCCACTGCATACTTACATAACATGTAAAGTTTGCCATTGAATTTTTCAGGGTTGGCAAATTATTATATACCTGGTTTTCTAAGGTTAGGCAATACCCCCAGAAGTTGGTATTAAATGCATGTTGTACTGAGTAATGTGGTTGTTGTTTTCTTGACCCATGCTGGATGGGGGATATAGAATATTTTGTAGAAGTACCTTGCGTCCATCAGATGGTAGGTATACATTGTACATTTTTTGGTGTCAGAAGTTATTAAAATCATTATCAAAGGTTAATACCAGCAAGGTCTTGGAACTGTGCTGTCAAATTGTTTTTACAGGAGTTATGCTGCTTGTTAATAGATATTATAGGGAAAATTACATTGTTAGAGATTTCTTGACTACATTTTGTAAGATATTTAATACATAGAAGTATATTAGAACCAAACAAATTTTTCTTAAGTAATATATAATTGTCCTTGGACTGATAAAATATGTGCCACATTGGAAACTATCTGTCAATATTGTCATGTTTTATTTAATTTAAATTTTACACAGAACAGTTCAAACATATTGTAGTTTCATAATACCATTGCCATATATAAACATTTTACACAGAAAAACCTTGAGTTATTTTAAGAGGAGAAAAAAAATCAATTTCTTCAATTTCTCAAACAATTTCATATACTAAATGCACAGAACAAGTATTGTATAAAATAAGGATATATGTGGTATGATTGCCAATGAGACAACTATCCAACAGAGTTTAAATGACAGGATTAAAGCAACTATTAGTCAACAAATGGTCTTCAGGAGCCTGTAGCCTTTGTTAGTCTTGTATTATTTTTAATTTTAGTTTCTTGTGTACAATTTGGAGTTTAGTATGGCGTTCATTATCACTGAACTAGTATATATATTTGTTTAGGGGCCAGCTGAAGGACGCCTCCGGGTGTGGGAATTTCTCGCTGCATTGAAGACCTGTTGGTGACCTTCTGCTGTTGTCTGTTCTATGGTCGGGTTGTTGTCTCTTTGACACATTCCCCATTTCCATTCTCAATTTTATTCAATAATGAGTAAAACCCATACCTTATACAAGACCCTGACATAACAGAATGGATCAAAGAACATTATTTGAACAAAAGACTTTTTTTCCAGTTCAAAGAATATTACTGGTAGTGTAATATTTCAATATTTTTTTTTATTTACAGATTGTTTGTTCACTGTTGGTCACTTAATGTAAGTGGGAAAAACTGATTGGATAAAGATATTAAACAGTCTTTATAGTACATGTGAAATAGGTGAGTTTTCCCAGTAGTAAATTAGTTTGTTCTTTTTGAATAGGGGACATTTCAATAGTAAAATTAAATCGGTATTAATATTTTGTATTGTAATTGGCCACTGTACCATTTGTAGTTAAATTAAAATAAAGTTGTTATGTTTTGATTTTGATAAAACAGTTTACCTTTTACTGCTATAAAATGTTTTATTCTTAATTCATCTCTCAATTTCAATTTTTGCAGGAGACTCATCTGATTGTGGAAGTTTGTGTAGTTGAAAGGAGTTACATACAGATGCTGTTTTGAATCATAAGAAATGACTGATATTAATTCATTTCTTCAGTTCCTCATTAGCTTCTTCACAAGGAATAAATTGTGTAAGGAGTTCTATATTCCTATTTAAAGACCTAACTTTTTTTTCAATTTGAGTGTATGAAAGCAAATTAATTGAATTCATTCTGAATACTGAGCTTATATAGTTTTATGTACATGTATATGTGACTTTATCTTTATTTGACTTTTTATTTATAAGTTATTTAAACATTAATAATTTTATTCTTTGTATGAGAAGCTATAATCAATCGACTACTGTAAATTCAGAAATTATTGCGTGCATTTATTATTGCGATTTTGTCATTTTAGACTAAAATGCGATTTAAATTTTTGCGACATTGAGAAAAATCCTGTTTAATTCATATAAAAAATTTCAAAATGCGAGTTTAAATTATTGCGATTATAACCCTGTCGCATTTTTCGCAATAATAAAAACATCGCAATAATTTCAGAATTTACAGTATATATTTTTTTCTCGCCTGGGATGAAAGTCCGGGAAAGTGAGACATAAGGGTTCCTTTTCTGGCGACGATGGCTCTTGCATCAACAATTGTTAAGTTTTCTGCTTAAGTTAGTAAGTTTGACAGGTATTACTTGTGATAGATCATTGATATTTAATATAAAGTTGTATTACTATCAGTACATATCAGTTTGACAACTATTTTGAGGCCCTGTTCCTAGGATATGGTGCAGTGACTTGGATTTAGAGATTTTCAATAATAATAGAAAAACAAAGGATATGGAGTATCCAACCATGACACAAAATCAGTAAATGCACATAAAAAAAAACATACAAAAAGCAAAGGAACAGCGCTTTTATTGCTGTTCTTCATCTCAAAGTCACATTGAGACCTCAACTCGGAGCAAAAAAAACTCTCACTTCACTGCAAGTTTAAGACGGCCCCTATCACCGACTTTAGCGGAATTCTTTGCAAAAATAATTTGGATAGACTTTGAAAGATGTAACACCACTCAATCGGGCTAAGTCGAAAAAGAACATTCTGGAAAGTAGTACATATTTAAAACAAAAAAGTTTACTGCTTAAGTTAGTTTGATAGGATCTAATTCTGACACACACATTACAATATATCCAAAAATAAAGTAATTGTCTGATACAGAAGTTTTATATGTTTTAAAGAATAATGCTGTTTTTGCCTTCTTTGTTTTTATTCCCTTTGAAAATATATCATTTTGTCCAACAAATTTTAAAAAAATCTGCATCGCGGCTTTGTAATATTGCAAATATTTGACCTGATAACAATTTAGACTGTTGGAATCATCATTGGCATCATAATGATATCAAGTTTGACCTGACATGAGGAAGGCAAGTGTCATAAACTTATTAAACAATAAAATTGAGAATGGAAATGGGGAATATGTCAAACAGACATTAACCCGACCAAAGAGCAGACAACAACCGAAAGCCACCTATGAAACAAGTTTGATTTGGATCAAGAAAATACTCAAATTAATACAATAAACAATGTATACATTGACATATACACAAATTAAAAATAGATGAGTTATGAGAGAATCCTCTTTTTTAAGCTAATCTGGCAAAAGTGACTAATTGTGTCTTCATACTCAGTTCATTGTTTGTCGTCTGTAAACCTTTTAGCTCACATCCCCATAAAGCCACTGAACTACTGTATAAACTTACTTGTTGTCCATTGTAAACTTTTTACCAAATTTGAGGTGAATGGTTCTAATGGTGTCTAGTATAAACTTTGTTGATTTTTATTCTGGTCAGTCTGTACACAGCAAACACTTTTGGATGAGTCTTTAAGGAATTATTACCCTTAAATAGTGATTTAATCAATTTTTATATGACCGCAAAATTTAAAAATTTTTGGTAGTATATTGGTATGACGTTGGCGTCGTCGTCGTCCGAAGACACATTGGTTTTCGCACTCTAACTTTAGTTTAACTGAATGGATCTCCATGAAATTTTACCATAAGGTTCAATACCACAAAAGGAAAGTTGGGATTGATTTTGGGGGTTATGGTACCAACAGTTAAGGAATTAGGGGCCAAAAATAAGCATTTTTGTAACTTCCAGACATAACTCGTGTGTTAGTGTATGGATCTCTCTGACATTGTACCACAAGGTTCCAAATCACAAAGGGAATGCTGGGATTGATTTTGGGGGTAATTGCCTCAAAAATTTAGGAATTAGGGGCAAAAAAACAAGCATTTTTCTAGTTTCATGATAACAACTTGTGTGTAAGTGTATGGATCTTTCTGAAATTGAACTACAAGGTTCCATATCACAAAGGGAAAGCTTGAATTGAGTTTGGGGGTAATTGCCCAAAACATTTAGGAAAAAGGGGCCAAAAATAGCATTTTTTGAGTTTCCAGACAATAACTTGTGTTCAAGTGTATGGATCTCTCTGAAATTGTACTGCAAGGTACCATACCACAAAGGGAAGGCTGGGATTGATTTTGGGGTGATGAATCATAAGGGGGTTCAAAAAATTTAGGGGAGGTATTTTTTTTTCTTTAAAATTTTCCATTTTAAAATGGTTATTTCTGATTTGTATATAAAAGCAAATAATAATGATATGGTTTGAATAGGTAAATTAAAAAATTTTAAGTTCTTAGACCACATTCATACTGTGTCAGAAACCTATGCTGTATCAAATATATAATCACAATCCAAATTCAGTGCTGTATCAAGCTTGAATGTTGTGTCCATACTTGCCCCAACTGTTCAGGGTTCCACCTCAGCGGTCGTATCAAGCTGCGCCCAGCGGAGCATTTTATTGCATTTTGGGCAAATTCAATAGTAGTTTAAAAGAGAAACTGTAACCAGCCAAAATGATCAGCAATATGCATGATTTACAAATAGATATGAATGCTGAATTAGAATCCGGTCTATAATGTAAGAGAGTGGCCATTTTTGAAGATGCAAATAGATCCAAGTGAGTGACAGACTATTGTCTAGTTAAAAGAGCTTCCCTGAAACTACTGAACCAATTCAAACCAAAGTGACTTGATCGATGGTGCTTAGTGGTGTGTAAAATATTGCTTAAATATTGTATGTCAATAAAAGACGAATTGAAACAAAAAAAGATCAGCATTTTAGGCGCATTGGGCCTGTAGTTTACCGTTTTGCTGTGACTGATAACAGCTTCATATCAGGATCAGTGCTGAACTTATATACTTTGTTATGTCTTTCTGACGAAGTTTTGTTTATCTTTAAAATGTCACAAAGAGTGGGTCATGAATTAAATTGACCACTGTCTCGAGTTACAGGGAGGACTGGGCACTAACAAACATTATTAACCCTGCAGGTTCTGTATGCGTTTGTCCCATGTCATGGAGGATCAAATTGAGAATGGAAGCGGGGAATGTGTTAAAAGAGACAACAACCCGACCAAAGTGCAGAAAACAGCCCTTGGCAAACCAATGGGTCTTCAACGCATGTGCTGCTGTATTTCGGTGATTGTCGTTGGTTGCTGGCTTTCATATTTTATTTTCGTTTCTGATTCTGATAGTGTGTTTTCAAAACAAGAATCAAAAGAATTTGTAAAGATTTGGGGCGGTCCAGAATTGCTTGTACGATTTAATGCTAAACAATGATATATTATCCAATAAAAGGGGGCGTACGCATTCTACGCCCTCCCCCTTAATCCATACATAATTGGATTGAGCTAGTGAGGGGATGGGTAGACAAGTGAACCCGCCCACCCTTATGGGACTAAATGTCTCTTGCATATAGACTGTATGCCCCACTCCTGATGTTTTTTAGTGGTTCCCCTTTTTTTTTAAATCCTGGATCAGCAACGGATATGGTATATGAAACATTGATTGAAGATGAAAACAGGGTAAAATATGATGTAAAGCAATGCATATATATTACTCTTCAAGAGTTTTGAAAACACACATTGGAACTGGAGCAAATGCATGTAGGGCTGGCCTACATCTGTGGTAACATGCCTTTTCGTCATCAATACAAATAAACTTGTAGGATTATTTATCCAATGAAAGAAAAATAAATACCTATCGGATCGCTTGCCAACCCGTGTATTAAAAAAGTAAGATATGAAATAACGTATTAAGGGAAATCATGAATTTATACAAAATATATTCGTTCGTATATCTGCATATCCTAGCTTGTGTTTTGTGAAAGGATCACGTACCGAAGTACCACCTACCGAGAGTTCAAATTTTTAAATTCATAATGAGAAAAATTACAATCAGTTAAACTGACAAATTCTTTGAATAGGAATAAACCATAAAGGTAATGAAAACCGTGTGTTAAACTTCAAACACAATACCAATAGCAAAGGTTACGGCTACAGCGATTATTAAAAAGAAATAGAAAGGGAGTCATAAAATTTAAATTGCATGAATTATAATATAATAGCTCAATCATTTATGACCTCGGAGTCAATACTTTCTATTTCTGTTTTCTGATATTTTCATTGCTTATTTTACTATTTCTTATATTTTATTTTCTATATACCGTTTTTACTATCAAATGCCCCCCCCCCCCCCCCCCCCCAAAGAATAAAAATAAAGAAAAATGAAAATATCACCAAAAACCTTTGAAAAAAAAGGATAATGCGCACGTTTCCGGACTAGTGTAACAAGAGAGAAAAAACAACCGTACGTAAAATCATAGCTGTATAAAAAAAAACATACATCTATGGTAAAATCCAGGATTTGTATAGTGAAATGAAATCCTTGGTAAAATGAAACAGTCAGTCGAATACACCGCGGACCAAGTATAAGGTGTACATGAAGTATTGCAGATTAACGACAAACTATCTGCTATTAATTCGATCACACACACACACACAAAAAAAAAACAGCAAAAAGCAGAAAAAACAAATTAATTAATAAAAAAAAAACACTGTCAGTAATGGTTATACTATCTACAACAGTATAATGGAGGAACGATGTGGCGCGTGGTTGTGATTAATACGCCGCCTAGATAAACAAAACTGTGTATTGACCTTTTAGTGATAGAAAAACAGAGTTCAAATATATAAATATTCATGTTATAACTTCCGTCAAAACTTTTAAACCAATAGCATAACACAAATTAGTTTTCGAACAGCTCTGATATTTTCTCATAAATTATAGTCAAACCCAGAGAGGTTCGAACAAAATCTTCCAAGCATAGTATCATTGGTTTCCTTCCCCCTTACTTATATTCCCCTGCTTCCTTTAAGAAACCAAAAAAAAGAAAATAAGACAGCTTGAGGATGGACGATAAAAACCAACAATATGACAATGTTTTGATTGGAATTCTTCAGAATGAAGGCAATATATCTGGATTTCTAGACGCGGTATTTGGATTTTTGTATAGAAGGTTTGCATAAATATTTTGTTAGTCTGTCAAAAGTTGAACAGAAACAGTTAAGTGTCCTGCAAAATCTGTCAATATATTTAAGAATTATATTATTAAACGAGGAGAATTGGAATGGAAAGAAGTGTGATCCTACATAGATGATATATAGTAGTTATTTTAATTTTTAATGTGAATCTGTAATTGATCCAATTTAAATATCATGGTTACCAGAATTGGAAAATAAGTTATCCTTACTAACAACAATGACTAAGCACACAGCTCATAGTTTAATAGTATATGTTAATTACAAGTTTAATTAGGAGGCGGCTAAAGAAGTTTTCAACTTAAAGATTGCTGCAGTACTCCAGGTAGAATCCAGGTAGTTAATTAGCATTTCTATGTAGCAGCATCCTAGCTCCTGCATTTGAAGTATAAATCTGCCTTTTGATTTGATGTTCCAGAGATTGAGTTTCCTAATATGATTTGTTAGGTAGAGGGTTGCTGCTTACACTAAAGCTATTGAAGTATTTACACTAATGGGTATTTAGCTGAACTTTTTCTCCGAATGAATCCGGACTGAAAGTGAGTCACGTTTTGCTCTAATACCTGTTCACCCTGGTTCGGTTCACTCTGATTTTGATTTTATTTTTTGTCATGTTGTATGATGTAAATTATTTGAATAAAGTATGTGAAAGTTTGTCGAAAATTTCATCGAATATTTATGTTGAATTGCTGCTACCAGATAACATGGATAATGCATTATTTTTCTTTGATTTGCACTGAAGGAATTCGGGTCCGTTTGCCCTGATTCACGTTCGCCCTAATGCCTGTTTGCACTGAGTCCGGGCGAACGGAATCTATGGGCGAACGGACCCAGGGCGAACATGTAATTAGGGCGAACGGACCCGATACCGCACTGAAGTCTATAGGAATACAAGGTTTTTAAAATAAAACAACTGAAGATCAAGTTATCTGTATGTATTTACATGTCTCTTTATTGATACATTTTAATAATTTTAAAACAAATCATTAACAGTTATAACAAGATCGAACTCATTCGCAGGACACACCAGGTATCATATGTCCTAACACTATTATTTTTAAGAGCACTGAAGTGGCATGTTCTATATAAAAGATAAAATACTTAAAAGACATAATCACACAGCCATTCACTCTACATTTCTAAACCATGATTTATCTGAGACTTAATATATTTAGAAGCCAAGCTGCAAAAAAATTTCCTTTCATATCATTATCATACAATTCCATCATCATTGTTTTCACTCAATCCAAGCTAACTTTCTTTATTAATCCACCATCATGACCATTGACCATAGATAATTAATACAACAATCAGTGAGATCAAAGACATCATAATTATACCTAATCAGCATTCTAAATTACAACCAACAATCATTAAAAGTAATTTTAAATAAAAACAAATGTAACAATTAATGCTCCAAAACAAGCCATTAATTTTAATTTTTTAGATATTTCCATGTTTTTTCATGAATTTTGAGAAATGTATATTTTCTTAAATATTAACCATATAAATTTTGAAATAAGTTTATAAAAATTTAATACCATTAATACTTATATTTTGTATTATAGAAGTAGGGCGAATGAACCCATGGCCAACATGTAGTTAGGGACGAACAGACCCAATACCTATGCCAATGACTCTTAGATCTTTCTCCGTCGATAACTTTGTGGCGTCATGCAACAATAACTTTTCAGTTCAGCTGTGGTTCCTTAGCTTTTGTGGTCCTAATGATATTTTGTCTATGGTCTAGAAATCTGGTAAAAAATATAAGGACTAAAGAGCTACAGTTTCACAGCTATTTTCAACACTTGATTTAACTTGCTTGATTAATGCTTTTATTCAGCAGGAATAAACTACTTTTCATTAGTTGGGCCAGTTGGTAGGTCTTTATACAGCAGGATTAAACATATTTCAAATAGTGGGGGGAGTTGACAAGCCTTTATTCAGCAGGATTAAACTCCCTTTTCATTAGTATGGCGAGTTGGTAGAAAGGTGGGCCGAGTTGGTTGGGGGGCGATTTGACAATGGGGCAAGTTGTCATGGATTCATATTAACTACTGATAGGGGAAAATAGCCTGCTCAGATTCCTGACCTAAATCTGATTTGTGTTTGGTTGGGTAACACATTGTTTAGGTAGGACAAGTCAACTTGTATTATATATCTATTTTTAACAACAATGGGCTCAAAAGGATACTAAACTTACATGCAGAAGTTAACTTTTCTTTACATCTTTTTCCAACCGAAAATTTTAAGAGAATAACTATCATAAAATTGAGAATGGAAACGGGGAATGCGTCAAAGAGACAACAACCCAACCAAAGAGCAGAAAACAGCACAAAGGCTACCAATGACTATTAAATAATTTCACACCAGTCATGCCAGTGAAAAGTTACTGTTCCATCCTAATTATGAAAATTTGGTGATGGTTTAAGATATGTAATCATCTCTGTTGACTTTATTCACAACTTCAACACTTTAGAACTTGTTATATGATGTACATGGGCCTTAAATCTGAAGCAACACTTGAGACCATATGGTGACCCTATACATGTATATTGTCTGTGATGTTAAAATAGTGATTATTGTCTTACTATTTTCTAACACTTATTGTATTACAGAACTGACTACTACAGTATAATGAAATCTAAGACAGACAAGCTAGGATTTACACCCGGAACAGCTTTAAATTTAATGGTTTCTGTAGGTACACTGTATTATTGTAAAATTCATAAATGTTTAAGAGCAAATCTTAGGGAGATGGTAGGCTTGGGGCTCTAGGAAGAATAATGTTTTCATGGTATTTGAAATTAATTGTATTAGTAAAAATAAGATATTGAATGTGTTGAAAATACATGATATAAATGTATGTACATGTGCTTCAATAAAACATTTCTATTCTAGTTTAAAACATTTTCTCTTCTATCTAGTAATGCCGTTTCAGAAGTACATTAATATTGGTAAAAATTTTAATTTGCCAAAAATCTTAACCATTTTACTTACATAAACTGAGAAATGATAGTAGTCTAAGAGAACAATCGTCACCCCAAAAATTTAATGATGGACAATTTTCCATCAAAGACCCAAACATTCCATCAAATGTGTATGACACAAAATCAAAGTCCATCATATGACATCAAGTTTTCATCCCATATGGATGGAAAGTCCAGGGAAGGGTAAAATTTAACCCCAACTCCTCAATCATGGTCATTAGATTACTTGTAGAAGACTAAGTCAGTTTAGGAACATGACTGATAGTTAGTCCATGCTTTTTGGTAGGCAGTTAGTTGCCTTAGCAGTAATTTTTTTCCCATTATTTTATAACATACAATTAAAATTAAGAGGAGTATATAGATAAAAAAACATTTTAAGCAATAAGTAAAATTTTATGTTATTTTGACATACATGTACCACAAACTTTGATATCAATCATGTCATTTATATTTTCTATAGTTTCACTTGTTACTTATGGCGTCAAGTAATAAATACATTTGTACCTTTGAAGGTACTGTAAGTTCAGAAATTATTGTGAGGATTTTATTAATGCAAATAATGCAACTGAATGAGTATCGCAAAAATAAAACCTCTCATTCTTAAATCTAATCCATATATAAATGTAACTGCATGCAGATTTTCTGAAATCGCAATAATTAATCTTGCATTTTAGTCCATTCTTCAAAATTCAAAATATTAAATGCACGCAATAATTTCTGAATTTACAGTACTTAAGCTCACAAAATGACTTTATTATGTATAGACATGATAAATAAATGATCCCGATGACCAATTATGATTCTGATGACCGTATGTCCTCACATAGTCATAGACATAGATAAATGTTAATAAAATAAAAGTTCCTTATCAATTAAAATCCTACAAAGTGTTCTCTTTTTATAAACATCTGTTAAATAGTTGTTAAACTTCATGATGGTAGGCATTTAAGAAGTATGAGAAGATTGCCACTGGGGATGAACAGAAGAAAAACAAAGGACACAAGACTGAGAGGGATAAAAAAAAAGCTTCAACAGTTACTCAACAGACTAAAAGTATAAAATTTTACTTCAATTGAAATCCATAAATTTTAGTGAAAAGAGGAGGTTATTATTGAGGTCATGAAATTGCAAAAATATTAAAATTCTTCAACTCTTTCAAAATTATGTTTGCCTACTGATAAATGAATAGGGGATATAATATAGACACTTCAGTTCAGAAAAAGTCAGTTGTAATGTCACGATGACATCATTAATATGTTGAAATTAATTGATTTGACATAAACAGTCCAAAGTAAAATTAGTTATGAGCCATGGCTTTACCCACAAAAATATTTGACACATATTAATCTTGTATATAAGATCTTTTAGGTAAAGCCATGGATTAATTTCACACCTGCGAACATTACCTGCTATATGTTATTAATAAATCCTTTTCTTTTTCTTTATTGTTCTCTTCTTGATACACAGATGTGTCAGATGCTTCCTCCGAACACATGGAAGTTTCTAAAGCTGATACATCCAGTCACAGTCCAAATCAAGACGCAGAAAAACCTGTAAATACATCAACGGAGCAATCCAACACAGAGTTCAAAGTTCATTCAAAACTACCAGAAGATATTAAAGATGATTCTGTTCCTATGAAATCAAAAAGTGCAAAAATTGAACAAGATGACAATCCTGAACTTGCAAGGTTTGTTGATCAATTTTTCTTATTATCTTTTATTTCTCAAGAAAAAAGATGATATTTTATATAAGTGACATATATCAATGTCATCATGTCTAATTTAAGAATTTAAAATTAATCAATGGATTAGAGGAGGAAATATGATAAGAGCTGTTATTTGGCCTTGACATTTTTGAAAAATAAGTTGTAAAATTCTTCAATCCTTTCAAAATTATTTTCTTAAAGAAATAGGATGATGTAAACTGGACCATTATTATTTTCTGTTCTATAATATAGCTATTTATTAGAGGATGTATTAACTAAGAGCTTGCTTGAATAGGATATTGTTTTATATACGAATGTTGAAAAAATGTGAAAACATATCCTTGTGTGTGTCATTGTACAATACGTCTACATCTTGTATATCAAACTTATGCACATCCAAACTATTTAATATAACTGTTTCCTATTTTCTTCAGACAACAAGCCATATTCCAAGCCAGTTCAGAAAGTTATAATGGCGCAATCCGTGATAATTATTCCTGGTCTCAGAGTATTACAGATCTTGATATATGTTTAAAGGTATGAGAGTGACCTGTTTATAGAAGACAAATTCTTTATCAAAAACGTAACATCCTGACTTAAAAGATCAAGGTTTATAATCCAGAATCTTTGGGGTTTTGATAAAATTAACTCATTGGGACTAAAAGGCCAAGATGCAGCTTTTTCCATCACTTACTGTCTGTGGTCATCCGGCTTTGACTTAAACCTAAACTAATGCCTTCTAGAACTAATTGCTCTTAAATAATAAATTGTAGCATTTTTTGATTATTGATTGTCTTGAAAATTGACAGAATCTGTAATCAGCAAAAAATATCACATTTAAAGACTTACAAAAATGTCAATTTGACTGAAATGATAAATTTACTCCTTATACTGACACATCTTGTTTTCAGAACATTTATCTGATATTTGACTGCCATTGATAAGAGACATTTAATTAGTAAATACAATGCTGTGGGATGTGTTATCAGATGATGAGTAATTGAAGTGCATGGCATCAACTTTTCCTAAATATACACTAAATATACATGTATTGCAAGAGTCCATACATTGATGTATTCACCCTTTCTGAAAAGCAGTTGATACATATATATAATATATATATATACAAGTCTAAATTGAAAACAACGTTCAAACTTATGATTGCGTTGGATAAAAACGGCAATTTTTATACGTGTGCATGCAAAACAAATTTCTTGGTAGAGGGGTCTAAATACAGCACAAACAACATTTTCCAAAAGACCAAAAAAGTGAAAAAGTATATTTTAACAAAATGCATTTGACTAGCAGGTCGAACAACGGATGTTCTTAAACCCTGCTGACTACCATTGGCGATTGTCAGATAAACGGATCACCAGAAGTAACAAAATGGATCTTCACTATTAATTTAATACCTAACAGAAAACAATATATATATATATATATAAGTACGTCTAAACAAGTGACAACTCTACGACAGATTCATCCATTGGATCACCAGTGAAGGTGATACACGGCTGAAAACACATATTAAATTCATAATTACTCTAAATAACAGCACAATGTTAAATCTGCAATTTTTGTTCTTCCCTGCCACGATGTCACAGAAGCAAGGGTTCGAATCCCGCTGAGGGAAGAACAAAAATTTGCTAACGCAAATTTGAAGATCTAACATTGTTGGGCTAAATTTGAGACGAGTTATATATATATATATATATATATATATCTCAGTGTTTACATATATATCTCAGTGTTTACAATCTAATGATAAATAAATCTGAAATAAAAATTATTATTGTGAATAAACCTTAGTTGAATTTATCTATACAGATTCCGAATTATATCAGAAAGGGCAAAGACATCAAAGTTTGTATTGAAAAGAAACATATTAAAGTATCACATAAAGATGAATCAGGACAGATGGTTGAGTTAATGAATGGAGAATTGTGCTGGGAAATTAACAAAGATGAATCAATATGGAATCTCGTTCCTGCAGAACATATTTTGGTTTGTATAATTAACTCAAATCATATTTTGGTCTACAAATTATGTAAACTTTTTAATATTGGACACAAATTCCCCAAGATTGTTGTGCACATTGTCGATATACAATGTACAATAAGAGGTTAACTGAGCTTATGAGAAAATATCCACCAGGACCAAAGAAAGAGGGTGGAAACAACTATAGAGCACTGTACAGCCTTTAACAATGAACGAAACTCATGCAATATGGTAAGCTATAAGAGGTCCCAGCATGACAAATTGTGAAACAAAATTAATTCAATAGAGAAAATCAACGGCCTGAGCTATGCTAAAAAAAATAAACGAAAAAACAAACATGCCAGACAGCAACCATTGAATTACAAGAATGTGGCAGGGTTAACCATGTGCTCAACCCCCCTAACATGGGACAGTGGTGAAAAAGCTTAAACAAGAACAAATTATAAAAATCAATTGGAAAAGTCTTGACTCATCAGAACAACTCTAAGCACACACAAATCCATATCAAAAGACATAAAACACAAGGTAAACATTTTTTTAGTGAAAGCTAGTTGAAAGCCAATTCCAGCTTATAAATAAGCCATATTTTCCCGGACTAAATTATCAATCAATACATATTTTGTCTGTCACAAAAGCTAGTCAATGCAAAATTTGTAAACCTAACAAGGCAATGAAACTTCCTATTTCAATGTATTTCTCTTTTGGATAAGATTGATTTATGTGGTTTACTATTGCAAACATGTATATTACCATTTGTATACATGAATAAGTTTTTTTTTATCTCAAATTTGCCTTTAGCTTACAATAGGATGAAAACATTTGTATGAAATGTATAATATGCTTAGAGTCACTGTCAATATTTTTAACTCAAGGAAAGAAGAGAGATCTATATGTTGTGTAGCTTTAATATTCCATTTGTATCCTGAAATTTGGAATCAACATTCATGTGAGCACGCTATACCATTTCTTTTAAAATCCTGTTTCGAAAACATTAGTGAGCTTGCAGTAACTCAAAGTTCAACTTAAATGTTTTAAAAGAGGTGTGGTTTGTGAATCAGCTATATTTACAAAGTGCAACCTGTATATTTTGAAGATTAATTTGGATAAAAAACAAGAAAGATGGTGGGAGGCTATTTTAACAACAGAACCAAAAATTAATGTACAGAAGATTGATGCTAGCAGACCAATGACAGATTTAGATGATGAAGCACAAACTAAGATAGAAGAAATGATGTTCAATGAGAGACAGAAGAAGTTAGGATTACCACAGTCACATGAAAAGGTATTGTGTTCTTAAATTATGTGTATAAATCATCCTATGTAAATTGTTTGATATGAGATATACAATGAGAGACTTAGGGTGTGAAGAGTATAGTTTTTGTATGGCCTGCAATGAAAGTGAGACATAAAGATGCTAGTCTGTCAGCAGTGGCGGTGTTTAGTACATGTATTTGTTTCAAGCTTTAACATATTTCAGAAGATACCTTAAAGACATGTGCCGTATATAAAGAAGTTTCTTTCTGTCATATTTCCATTGTCCATGACTATATTTTCATGGTTCAATGACCTCTTAAAAAAATTAATGTTGTTTTTTGTCACTCAAATTTCTCTTTAATTATGAGTACTAGAATGTCTATATTTGGTATATAAGATCCTTGCAAGGTCTACATGTATGTTAGACAGGGTTCACCTGACTCTGACCTCATTTCATAGATCAGTAATCAAGTAAAAGCATTGTGGTCAAATAAATCTCAAATTCTACAATCAATAGGTCAGCTATATCTGTAGATTGCAATGATTGCAATGAAGTGTCATTTCTGGCTGGCAGGGTTCATCTGACCGTGGCCTCATTTGCAGAGATCATTTTCATGGTTCATTGGTCAGAGTATAGATATTTTGTGGTTTGGACTGTAAGCAATATGTCAACTTTAGATGGTGTATGGAATAATTGTAAGGTGTGCATGTTTGTCTGGCTGGGTTTACCTGACTTTGACCTCATTTACATGAATAATTGATGATGTTAAGTTTATAGGATACTTGTATTAGACATTTTCAATTTCAACTCTTCAGAAAATCAGATGAGCCATTTCAGTGTGTACACTCCTGTTTAATTCTACAATCTTAAAAATCATAATGGGATGGAAAAAATTATCAGATACTCCTATAAATAAACAGAAACAATATGCAGGAAAAAAGATAATCAATGCAATATCTATAAAAATTCTAATATTACATAAACCATTTATTGACTATTTGTGGTAATTATTGTCCTTAAATTGCTATATTTGAAGAGATTATAAACATGAACAATATGAAAAAACTACAGGTACTGTTAGATATCTTCAAAAACAAGTTAAAAAGAAAATTGTTTCATCTCTTTTAATGCATAGAATATATCCAAGGTATAATCTATCAGTAGTCATTGAAACCATGAGCATATTTCATATAAACATTGTATATATACTGTATCTATATTCTTGTAAATTTTTTGTAATGACTTTAAGAGATACCGAATTAAATAAATATCTATTAAGCATGTCCTTCATACCCAAGCTTGTGTGGGCTACTCTTAACTAATACAAAAAAGGGATAACAGAAATTACCAAAAATATTACAAAGTACTACATACCACATCAAACACCAAAACACGTCTTTTTGGGAAAAATTAGACAAACAATCATAGACAAAAGACAACCAACAGCACAAGGTCAAAAAGACAAGGATGCAAATAAAAAAATCAAAACAAAAAATCCTCAATTTTATTACTTTATTCACTTTTTTGCAATTTTAATGACTCTAGAATTTCCACTTAACCCATTTAAAAAAGATAAATACATAAATATTTTATTATGGCTAAATATACTTCATAGCAGTTTTAAAATGTGAGTTTTTATTGTTTCCTTTTTCAGAAAGTACATGATGTTTTAGCACAAGCTTGGAATGCCGAGGGTTCTCCATTTAAAGGACAGCCGTTTGATCCATCAAAGTTAAATGTAGGTCAAGGAGGAATGATAACAATAAATGACAGTGAGACTAATAAAAATAGTTCTTGAGGAATGATAACAATAATTGGTAGTGAGGCTTATAAAATAGTTCTTGAGTAATGATAACAATAATTGACAGTGAGGCTAATAAAATAGTTCTAAACAAAATGTTAACAGTTGCATTTGTTGAGACATGAATGAATTTGTAACTTTAAGTGAGTACAAATACGTCTTCTGAACATACAGTTCTTAAGATGCAAGGAGTTATCTTATTTGGTCTACTCTCTTACAAATTTTGTAGAAAACAGTTTTTTCCTTGTCTACTCAACTGGACGAGAACCCACAATTATCATCAGTTACCGTCACCTGGAATTTAATGCAATAAAGGACATAGCGTTGTTATTTTATTTCAGTTTATTAGTTGTGTTTTTGTTGATCTGATTAAAGACATGTAAAAACGGAGATTTATGTTTTCTTAATGCCTAATGGGAAGAAAAGCATTTTGGGACATGATTTTAGAAACTTTGCTGTTTTCAGACAAATTAATAAATTATTGCTTTAGAATACGAATTTCTTTCAAAAGAATTCAAAAATTTGTTGACATTTCAAAATTAAAGTATACGTGTATGCTCTTTTTCAATTTAGTGTAACTTAATAATTTCAAATCACATATATTGATTTCAAGTTCAGCTTTAGAGAAAGAAGAGCAGCTTCTGAATTTGTTGGTTGATTGAAAATGTGTTTCTTTTATTTTACAGACCTTTCCCTTCTTTCTTTATAATATCCAAATATGAAATTAATGTTCAGATAAATTGAAATTTTCTCTAAATAGCACATGTGTAATTCATAAGTGATAATAACTTTTCCTTGCATCTAGCATACCATTAAAAAATGGTCACATTAGTTACCCTGTTTTGACTGCTAATAAGAGGATTTAAAGTCCAATAGGGTACTAAAACTAACTTTTGGTTACTCTACATATCTGTTAAACAATAATTTAAAACTGCAATTTTCTAACTGTAACTGGTACTTAACCAGATCAGTTTCTAATAAATATGTGTATAAAAACTGCTAATGGATATTATGCAGCCAACAATCAACTCACCAGTCTAGGAATCTTAGGTTAGGTGTTAATATTGATTGAAATTTTGTTTTATAGCATTTTGTCTCGCCTGCGACAGTATGTGAGACATATGTATTACTATCGGGTGGTGGTGGCGGCTGTGTAAACTATTTGTATAAAGCTTTATATTTCAGAAGGTAGAAGACCTGAATGCTTCATATCTTGTATGCAAATACCTTATGTTATGAAGTTTGCGTCTGTCATAAGTCCAAATTCATTGACCTCATTTTCATGGTTCAACGACTGCTTGAAAAAAAAAATGATTTTTTTTGTCATGTAAATTTCTCACTTATTATGAGTAATAGCATAACCATATTTGGTATATGGGTTCTTTGCATCGTCTACATGTCCCTCAGACAGGGTTCACCTGACCTTGACCTCATTTAATGGATCAGTGATCAAGGTTAAAGTTACTTGATTAGGTCCATTTTTCAAATACTATAAGCAGCAGGTCAACTATATGTGGTGTATGGAATGACTGTAATGGGTACATGTCAGTCTGGTAGGTTTCATTTGACCTTGACCTCATTTTCATGGTTCATTGGTCAATGTTAATTTTTTGTGTTTTGGTCTGTTTTTCAAGTACTATAGGCAACAGGTCCACTATATCTGGTGTATGGAAGGATTGTAAGGTGTACATGCCTGTCTTGCAGGTATCATCTGACCTTGAAATCAAATTTCATGGTTCATTGGTCAATGTTAAGTTTTTGTGTTTTGGTCTGTTTTTAAAGTACTATAAGCAATATGTCAACTATATTTGGTGTATGGAATGACTGTAATGGGTACATGTCAGTCTGGTAGGTTTCATTTGACCTTGACCTCATTTTCATGGTTCATTGGTCAATTTTAACTTTTTGTGTTTTGGTCTGTTTTTCAAGTACTATAGGCAATAGGTCCACTATTTCTGGTGTATGGAATGATTGTAAGGTGTTTATGTGTCTAGCATGTATCATCTGACCTTGACCTCATTTTCATGGTTATAGATCAATGTTAAGTTTTGTTTTTGTTTTGGACTGTTTTTCAATTATCATAAGCAATAGGTCAAATATATTTTGTGTATACATAAGTTGTAAGGTGTATATGTCTGTCTGACCGCATTTATTTGACCTGAGTTTCTGTGATGCTTTTAGTTCCACCTTTATCTTTAAGACTGTCAACACAAAATCAATGGTCAGTAAAGCAGGCCAGATATTTCAGCTTGTGCACTCTTGTTGTGTTTATAATATCACTAGTAATAAAAAAGAATACAGTTCATAACATATTTATTTCAGTAAATTTGATGACTGAAAACGGGTAAATTATTTAATAAATAAGTTTGATTTTTATTTTCAAAAGTAATTTCTTGTTAATGTCCTTTGAACTTATTTCTTGAAATTATAATGTTACAGAAATTATTGAACTAATAGAAATAAGAAGATGTGGTATGAGTGCCAATGAGAAACTCTCCATCCAAGTCATGCATGTATATTCTTAACTAAGTACCCAATGCACTATTGTTTCATTCAGGACTAAGGATAGGTCTGTTGGTAAAACTTACTGCAAATGGAAAAGCTATCAGCATATTAGAGTACGGGAAGCTAATAATTCAATAGCAGTACATTTTTCAACATTTTGATAAGATATAGGATTTTGTTTTAAAAGAAAGTCCATGAACATGTATTTTTTAGTAAAACATTGGCATTCAAGCATATTAAACAGATTCAACATTTTTTAACCGGATTTTCGAAGGAAAAATCGGTTATTGATTTGGGGATGTACAGCGGTTGGGCGGTTGCCAAACAGTGTCCGTTCATTAACATGAAAACACTTTGACTAATTTTTTATACGACTGCAAAAAAATTTTGCGGTCGTATATTGGTATGATGTTGGCGTCGTCGTCGTCCGAAGACACATTGGTTTATGCACTCTAACTTTAGTTAAAGTGAATGGATCTCTATGAAATTTTACCATAAGGTTCCATACCACAAAAGGAAGGTGGGGATTGATTTTGGGGGTTATGGTACCAACAGTTAAGGAATAAGGGGCCAAAAAGGGGCCAAAAATAAGCATTTTTGTAATTTCCAGACATAACTTGTGTGTTAGTGTATGGATCTCTCTGACATTGTACCACAAGGTTCCATATCATAAAAGGAATGCAGGGATTGATTTTGGGGGTAATTGCCTCCAAATTTTAGGAATTAGGGGCCAAAAAGGGCCAAAAAAACAAGCATTTTTCTAGTTTCATGACAATAACTTATGTGTAAGTGTATGGATCTCTCTGATATTGTACCCGTTCCATATCACAAAGGAAATGCTGGATTGATTTTGGGGGTAATTGCCTCAAAATTTTAGGAATTAGGGGCCAAAAAACAAACAGTTTTCTAGTTTCATGACAATAACTTGTGTGTAAGTGTATGGATCTTTATGAAATTGTACTACAAGGTTCCATATCACAAAGGGAAAGCTGGAATTGAGTTTGGGGGTAATTGCCCAAAACGTTTAGGAATAAGGGGCCAAAAAGGGGCAAAAAATAAGCATTTTTCTAGTTTCCAGACAAAAACTAGTGTTCAAGTGTATGGATCTCTCTGAAATTGTACTGCAAGGTACCATACCACAAAGGGAAGGCTGGGATTGATTTTGGGGGTAATTGCCTCAAAATTTTAGGAATTATGGGCCATAAAGGGGCAAAAAAACAAGCATTTTTCTAGTTTCAGGACAATAACTTATGTGTTAGTGTATGGATCTTTATGAAATTGTACTGTAAGGTTCCATATCACAAAGGGAAAGCTGGGTTTGAGTTTGGGGGTAATTGCCAGAAACGTTTAGGAATTTGGGGCCAAAAAGGGGCCAAAAAACAAGCATTTTTGTAGTTTCCACACAATAAATTGTGTTCAAGTGTATGGATCTCTCTGAAATTGTACTGCAAGGTACCATACCACAAAGGGAAGGCTGGGATTGAGTTTTGGGGTGATGAATCATAAGGGGGTTCAAAAAATTTGGGGGGGGGGGGCTGGGGATTTTTTTTCCTTTTTTTTCTTTAAAATTCTCCATTTTAAATTGGTTTTTTTCTGATTTATATATAAAAGCAAATAATAATGATATGGTTTGAATAGGTAAATTAAAATTTTTTAAGTTCTTAGACCACATTCATTCTGTGTCAGAAACCTATGCTGTGTCATATATTTAATTACAATCCAAATCAGTGCTGTATCAAGCTTGAATGTTGTGCCCATACTTGCCCCAACTGTTCAGGGTTCGACCTCTGCGGTCGTATGAAGCTGCGCCCCAGCTGAGCATTTTATTTCAAATTTTGATATGTTGTTTCCTGTGACTAAATGAAGGTCAAGTTCAATTTTCACAATTTTAGCTATTCTCGTTGTTGAGTTGTAGACCTGTTAGTAGCCAAAAGTTATACTTATTACATGATTGAGTTATTTCCCATTGAACAGAAATGGCAAATATCATTTTCATTAGATAATAATCTATTTTTATTAAAGGAAATATTTCATTACATTACATTGTGTAGATAAAGTTGTTGACATTGATAGATTAGTTGCAGATCTATATTAGTTTGTGACAATTGAAAGAAAAAATATTAGGAACTATTAATTACATATATCAAGTTGATTACACTAAGTGTTTTTAAATATTTTTCACCTGTTATCAGATAACTTTAGCATGTGGTAAATATCTATCACACAATTATAATTGGAGTGACAGATTTATTTGAAAAGTTTCCTAAGTGCTGATGGTGATAAGTTCTGTAGGACTGTATAAATATAGTATTTACTGTTCATTATTAGACATTTTGAAGATAATTACAGATAAGTTTGATAGATTTTTAAAAGACATTGTATTAATGATAAATGAAATTTAGGATTTTTTTTCTTCTTTTTAAATTTTAATATGTTGTTACTGATGACAAAATGAAGGTCAAGTTCAATATTGACGATTTTCATTTTCACCGTTCAGGAGTTATGGTTCTTGAAAGATTGAAAAATGGTCTTTCCAGTCGTGTCCATGCTTTAACTCATGAAGTGTTCAACAAAAGCTTTTCAAATTTTAATATGTTGTTACTGATAACAAAATGGAGGTCAAGTTCAATATTGGTGATTGTCACTTTTACCGTTCAGGAGTTATGGTCCTTGTGATATTGAAAAATGCCAGGACACAAATAAATGTTAAAAAATCCGGATTGCTGTCGCTCTGACAGCCTCTTGTTTTAAATTTTAAGTTTCATATGACTTTAATGCATGTATTATTTTTTAATGTACCAATTAAAAAAACATTAACCGCATTGTTTGTGGGATTCAGTAGTAAAAGTAGAAAAAAAAAGACACAAAGAACTGATGGGGGAAAA